AGGTGACGTCATTTCACTCTTCAAATTCGCAAATTTTCACCACTAAAGACCTTTTTAATGTATATATTATAGGACTTATAAGTTTTATGAAATATATTTCTTTCCTGTAAATTATTGATGAAATAAAGATGTAAATTCAACAAAACAATGCTGTAATAATTCCCTTGTAGCTAATGCTTCCTCTGGGAAGTGGGAAGTTCCTACTTGGAAGTTGTAATTACCACTTGATTCTATTCGGGACATATTTGAAATATTAGTACAGACACATGCGCTCTAGAGAGAAATATACTTTATTTGCATAATAATTATATCACGTGTGTCCATTATATAATTCTGATTGGTTGCCAAACATTAATAGGTCATATGACGTCATATGTCGTGAACTCGAAATAATTTTAGCTACCCGAGTTCTCCAATAGAAAACACGACTTTCGAGCAAAATTTGAAGTAACGAATGCTATATACCATCTCGGAAGTCGTATTTCCCATAGGTAACAAATACAGCATAAGATCGTCTTAAGTCGTAATAGTTTGGCGTAAACGTACGCACTTTACAAAATAACGCACAATTTCTTTAAAAATAACTCAGACAGTTCATTTTCTATATTTGTCTTTTCTATATATGACGGAGTCTCAAGAAATGACGACTCGTCATTTCAGCATACAGACGCGGATAATTCTGGACATACATGAATTTGAAGGCTGGAATTTCGAGGGTGAGCTGTAAGCACTATAACTAATTAGCTGAGCTAAAAAATTACCGTTACTGAGAATAAAGTACAATTGCTCTAACTGATGGCCAGCCTTTCCCTTTAAGAGTTTCTGTAAAAACTGGTATTTTTTGCGTAATATTTTTACAATGTAAAGGGAAAGAAGCGACACTAAATGATTTCAGACCAACTTAATTCATTGTCATATGATCTCATATAGCATAAGAATTAACACTTACTGGTTATCTTTGATAATATTTTTCAATTTAAAGGAAGAGAATCAATTCCTAATACCGAATTAATTCATTGTTACAAAGACGACGATTGTAGTCAAGACATCATTCAGTACTTCCAAATAATGTTGAAAGTGCGATTGTAGGTGGACTGTTTTCAGTCATATTATAACACTCATTATAACAATCTTTCCCTCGTTCACGATTCATAGAATCAGAGGTAGGTATAAAATAACAACAAACAAACCCACACCGACCGGCAGTAGAAAATACGGCGATAATCAGCATTAATAAACACCGGATGTAACTATCAAAGTTGAAGTTTTTGAAAGATTTTTGATAGTGACAAAATCCGTTCCAGAGAGGTCGTCAAAATGATGCCTATTCCTCGATTCAAATAAGCGATATATTTTTTCTGGTAACACGTTTTTGTTTTTTAAAGAATCAATCGTATTTTAGTCTCAGAGACAGGAAATTTTAGCTAAACTAATTGGTAATAATGTTCACAGCTTACCGTCGGAATTTGAGCATTCCATTCCGCTAGCGTCAAGAATTATTCTTGTGTGAAGTTAAAATGACGACTCGTCTCTTCTTGAGACTCCGCTATATATAGAAAAGACATATACACGTTTGAGGTATTTTTGAAGGGATTGTGTCAGTAGGTTTGTAGTCTATTTCATGACCCAAATCAACCCCGAACCACGGCAATGTCAATTACCTTTAAACAATTTCTTTTGTATCTATACATTTTTGTCAAATTCGGCATGAGGTATTTGCCTATTCTATGTAGTCATGACCTGATATTTGCGGTGTCTTTAATCCTCCGACAGCCTCCAACTACTCCAGAGTGTAGTCTAATTAAAATTAGACCGGTCTCTCGTACCGTTTTTTATTAACTTAATTTTTTTTATTTAGCCACTTCAGTTAGGGTCTAACGACGGCCTTCTTAAACATTCGTCACCTCCGCCCAATCAAATTTCTGTCCTTTCAAACACTAAGATTTAGTGACGCAAACAGAAAGTGAATTCACAGAATCCTCACGTCACAAATTCAAGCATAGGGGAGGGGGGATTTGATTGGCTGGCTGTGTTTTCAAACTGACGAATGTTCTATAAAGCCGTCGTTAGACCTTACCTGAAGGGCTCAAATAAAAAATAAAAGTTAATAAAAAGCAGAACGAAAGTTTGGTCTAATTTTGATGACATGTAGACTGTGTCGGAGTGGTATTTAGCTACTCTGACACTCGCATTGAAGAGAAAAGACATGGTAATTTTTAACGAAATTTGTATTTTTATCTGTAATTAAAGTTTACATTCTAGACACACGTCATCTTCACAATCATCTTCTCTAAAAAATAAAATTATTAATTTTATCATTATATTCAATAAATTAAAAATAAATAAACAGCAAATTTCTCAAATATACAAACTGACGCCATTGCAAAAAAGTGAAGAGAAAAATATGAGAACCATTGAAAGTGTATATGAATTTATTACCACAGGTATGAATCAATACTGGTCAAATGTGAAAGTGAAACTGTCCAAAATATGTTTATTGCATGATATAAATTCTTTCGGAAGAAAATGAATTTCATTTGTGACGTCACATCATGAGAAAAGGGCTGATTTCACGATTTCATATAGCCGAGCAAAGTTATTTATCAATATCATGGGACGATTCAAAAACAGAAACGCGATTATTTTCATATTTTTTGGTAGACTGAAATGTAATAGAAGCTATAGACCTAGAGGTTTGTCTTATTGAGTTGATTACTACTTTAACTACCGTGAAATAAAGTGGACTGCTCCCCTTTTTTGAATCCGACCTGAGTGTGCACCAATACTTTTGTTGGACTACAAAATCATTAATCGAAAAATTAATAACTCAGTTGTCTCCCTTTGACCACATTTGAACATGAAAAGCAATTTGCACACAGACAGCTTAGAAATCATATTTCGCCACTTTGCAGTTGCGTGCAACCAAGCTTGAGTTTTCGTCCAGTCAAAATTAAAACGGCGTCCGTTGGGATCATGGGACCCATAATGTTACACGTGATGGTATCACTATTTTCGCTAGATAGCGATCAACTGAAAAGTGGTAAATTCAAGGACTATAATTATGACTAGATTTAAGAATGTATACAATTCAAAATTAGTATCAGAAGAGCTGTACAACATGCCGACACTGTTAGACCACTATATTACTAAGTGACAATTTCGACATAATATTAAGCACTACAATTGAACATCTCATATATTCTTCTTTTTAAAATAAATAATTTCAAGGTTTGAAGAGGTAAAAAAAATGTCCAAAACATAATGAAAAAATTTGAAAATTTCGCTAATATGAAACAAGTTAATGAATAACGATAACATGGCAAAATAAATAAAATAAATAGATTGAAAAATAAATAAATAAAATTATATTATCAAAACACACACGAATCAATCGGCACACTTTCATAATTTTATAAATAAATTATAACAAATTAATATTTACAACAATTTGATTAGGATACAGATCTAGACGTAATATTTGTAGTTTTGTTCTCAGGGTGATTTCACGTTCCCTCTATGGCAGGGGTTTCCAACCTAGGGGTAATTACTGCCAAGAGGATAATTTCAATATTTTAAGAGGTAATAGGAGCGATTTGTAGTTGCTTTTGGACAATTATAATTTAAGTCGTTCTATTCAGCCGGGCTATATTCTCCGACATGAAAACGATTGCATGGGATATTGAAAGAGACAATCACGAAATAGTTAGGATTTATAGGGGGAAGAGGGGAAGGGGGAAGGGGGGAAGGGAGATAAAACAATCGATCAAGGATCCTGAAAGGGACAATAAATAGAAAGAATAAGGTCGAAAACCCCCGATCTTTAACCAGAGGAAATTCACCTTCAATTCAGACTAAGTCGATTTCATCCTCATAGGGTAATGGTTCAAGCTAACCAATCAGAAACTCTGATCAAGTGTTTTGACTACACAAATTAGTGTTAAACAATAATGTTAAAATAATCTATAGCTTTCAATTCAGAACACCAGACATCATTAATACTACGAATCTAGATCTTAATTTTAAATTCGGGTTGAGATTGTATTGTATTTCTTTCTATAAGGTTCTAGAATATCAGTATCAACAGTCTGCTTAAAATTAGATCATACTTTAAAACCATACTTTTAATATAGCAACCTATATTGAAAATAAATTTAATAAAAAAAACGGAAGGAAAGTTTGGTCTAATTGAAATTAGACTGTCAATACTAATAAATGGAATAAAAACATAAAACACAGTATCATCATAATAAATATCATAATAATATATGACACGAAACTTTGGAATGATTTGTTTAAAATTGTGCATAAAAAATCTGACAATATGATTAAAATATGTGCAACATGACGTTCAAATCGGAAAGCTGAAACTTTGTATTTTATACACACTGATATCAAATTATAGAATTATATACAATATATAGAAACAACGTCATAATTTCTTGCTACGTCACAGCAAACGTCACACAGTTTGAATTAGGTAAAACACCATATTACGTCATAATTTATACCATTAATTGTCAGGATTGTCACCAAAACTTCTACAGTCTGATCTTGTCACACCAAACGTTCCTCTTACACCATCGACTAGGATGAAAAACACACGCTTTGAGCCCGTGTTTTATCACTGTTGATATGCATTTTGTTTGGATGTTTGTAACACATGAATTCGTTGCAGTCTTTACGTTGTGCTAGCACTTCTTCCGGCTGTCGGACCAGAGACACTTCGAGGCTTCGATTCTAAGGCACTGAATTAAGTAACCGAGTACGCCAGGTTTAAACCCTCACATCTGGAGTTGTCACTTTTAAGTATGTACACCAACACATAATATGATGGAAAAGGTGCCATTTTAAAAACGACATTTAAGTACACAGCTGATGACACCATTGTGCTACGTCACGATTTGTGACGTAAATCTAGAAAAAAACGTCGTAATGATAAAGTGACGTCATTCCGAGATATGAATTAGTAATTGGTTGCCAGGTATTTAAAATCGATGACGTCAGGCATCTTGGTCACTGTAATCCACATGTAAATAATCACCATTAAAATCCTTCGAATATCCAGGCCGAAATTCAGTCTCATATTCACGGCCGGGTAACGGCGATTTCCGAACTTCCTTTAATTGAATGATGCCATTCGGCGAGTTCGAGGTCCCCTGCCCCCCATGGTCTTTATCTTTTGTACATTTTTTACAGTCTTTTTTATATTTTGGTTTAATAGCTGACCCATGACATCTGATGGCGAATCGTAGTTCTTGGGCCATTTCGGTACATAGGGATTGCTGTGAATAAAATAATAAGAGAATTATAGAAATGATGACGGATGGGATTCTAATTTTTACAAGTTGTATGATTAGGCAATAAATTTGAACGACAAAGAAGTAAAAATATCGAGGAAAGACACCACAATGTCCTTACATTTTCGCATGCTTGCTCGCATCATTTTATGTTAATTATGTTAGCTATGTTTGCCACTGCAAATTCTACTAATTACAATTACCTCCTAAATTGGAAGTAATATTTGCATTATCTTTTAATATAGTTTACGTTAGTGTTTTACTCTTGTGACTTATTAGTTTAAAGAATACGGATTAACATACTTACTCGATCATCTTCAGCGTTTTTCCTCGACTTCCAGATGAACTCGAACATGGCGACCATGACAGCCAGAGCTAAGCCTGCCATTAATACCACAAATATACCACCAACATTCTCCACGCCCAGAGCATTGGCTTTCTGATCTTTCTGGTCGTCTTTGTTACAAGTACCTGTTGATTTCCACCACTTGTTGTACAACATCTGTATTTTACCGTTCTCTTGTAATTCAAGTATAGCCATTGATAATTTATCTCGATATGGTGAATCTGGAAACGCAAATATTTAATAATTATGCTTCCATATTTTATTCGGACGCTTACAATTGAAATACATCATGATAAATTTCGACATTCCTCAATCTTAATTACAATTTGGACGGGATATTTAAGTGTTTTGGAAAATTTACATGATAATTTGTTGCAAGGCATCTCGTGGTTCACCTGGGTACACGAATGAATTGTCTTTCTATCGCACTGTCACACTTTCAACAATCAGACTGTAGCGCAACCTGCATTAAAGAGATTGTAAAGAGGTTTTCTAAATTTTGTATGCGTATCGGGAACACTGATATCATCAATTTGCACCATTCCAATTTTCAATCTGACGTCTGCGGAATGGTGCAAATTGATGCTATCGGTGTACCGAAAATTAAGAAAACCTCTTTACAATCCCTTTAAAATGAGATAAAGGGTGTGATCTGAATAGATAATACAAGATCCATAATTGACAAGTATGGACACTTTGAAAGTTTTGTATTTGCCTCCATTACCCTTGAATAACCTACATAAAACGAATAAGCATGATATAATGATCAATACGTCTGTTTGAATTTACTATGTGAAATATATCGATTACGAAACATGTGTCCATACCTATAGGTGTTCCGATTCCATAGCCTTTAGTATCCAGTAACCCTCCGACCTGCATTAGCTCACAGTTACGTTGTATGACGTAATCTATCGACGTGGACTCCATAAAGAAGGCGTAATTTCCTTTCATGACCCGATCAATACCATCAATATAGGAGTCCATTAATACATCCTTAGAATTCTCCTCCATAAACGCCCACATTCTTTTATAAATATCTATATTCGAATCCTACAATGGGAAATATCAAATTTAAAAACAGCAGATTGTCAAGCGATATGATATGGTTGCATGATTACCTATAAATTCACTAGCATCAACTTTTTAACCACCCTAACCTCTGAAAACAATGTGAAAATAGTAAGCTAGTAGGTATACCAAAACATCTACCTATTCCAGCCTCTGATAGCTATTTTGACAGTTATCGGCTGGTGTAGAGGCTGAATAGAGGCAGATGTTTCAGTCTAGTTAGTAGGAAGGATCATATGGACTTTGAAACTTACCCTAAAGAAAGTCATGGTAGATCCGGCAGCAAGTGTACCATATAATATATCCGTTTGTTTAGCGAGATCCTCGGCACTTTCTATGGGCGACACCATTCTTTCTACTGTTAAAAACGCAGCTAAATTAGCTGTATATGAGGATATTATAATCAGGGTGAAAAACCACCACGTGCCACCTACGATACGAGTTGACACTGCACGTGGGTTCACGTCTGATCCCTGCTGCATCAATGTTCCCACAGTAAACCAGAAACTATTGGCCAGGTTGAAGGTGTTCTCCACTGTATCTGAATCAGGATTACACGGATGGGGATTATACCACTCATATGGACTGAACCGGGCCAATACGAATATGGTAAAACTCACTAATAAGTAAGCCCCTATCACATACAACCAAATCTCGATTGCAAGCGGGTTTAAAAATGAAAATAGTCCCGGTTTTTCACTTTTTGGAATTTTAAATAAAATTGTTATTCCTAAGTTTAAGAATGGTTTTGTAAAGTCGATCACTTGTTCACGAACGTAACTTATAGTTAATGGCGCCACGGCCAGATCTGCTTTCTGAAACGATAAAATCAACTACTTTACTAACATGTTTTATTTAAAGTTTTCAGGAAGATGTAAATGCAGGAAGCTTTCTGTCTTGGTAGGTTATTAGCATAAACCCTTCTGAAACTTTAAGTTTGTGAATGTTATTTGTCAAAGTGACATCTTGGTCACATTCACAATGTCAAACTATTGCGAACTTCATCTTATACCTTGACTGTAATAACCACCTTTCTTGTGTCAAGGGCGTTTGTAAATACAGCGATTTGATTTGATTGTTAGCAAATACAGCCAATCCGAGTCCTCAACAGAAAGTGATTGGCTGTATTTGCTTGGGTACAATCCAATCAAATCACTACATTCAGTGATACAAGAATAGTAGCTATAGCAGTCAAGGTATAAGGCAAAATTCGTTATAGCCTGACATTGTTAATATACATGAGAATTTGGTCAAGGATATCTGAAACCACAGATTTAAATCGAGAAATCGTACAGGTGTTTTGCTTGCGAAGCATGGGGAATAATCGATGATTAAATTTTCACTCCCAGAAAAAATAGTTGCCAGAAACACGACCTTATCTTTGTTAAAAGCTTCCGATTTTAGAGTGGGCAATTCAGAAAAAAAGAAGAACCAATTGAGTATGGTAATCTTGACATTTAGTTTCTGAATCGGAAGCAAAAAGTTTTCAATTGATTTCAAAGTCTTGCTGAGTTTTCCTCACGAAATTCATTACTCGATTCTGTTTTTCTACTGTTTTGTTTGAAACACATTATTATCGGTAATGCAACTAATATTTCGATATAATCCTGACAAATTTGTGTAATTTGAAGATATTGGTTCAATTTGCAGTCAGAGGTGGTGACAAAAGTATTGTAAAGATGTTCAAGGTGTATAGGAGACACTGATAGCATTGATTTCAACCATTCCAGTTGTCATTCAGTCTGTGGTTCATGCATTTCTAAATAGGTTCGAAATTCTCTTTACAACCCCTCTAATAGTTCGTTTTTTAAAGGTATTTCTACACTGGCTCACATACACTGAACTGATTTTTCTCAAATATGAACCTATCCTATCAAAGTGAATTGCAAGAACTGTCCAGGTCATTTCAGGTATGTTTCCAATACAACGAACTTACTTGCTCAAATTCGAATCAACAATTTTAAATTGGACTCCAAAAAATTGTAATCTTTAAATAGCTATAAATGTATATATCTTCAATTGAATACATCTGCTTGTAAAATTTGAATCTGTACTATCACTTTCAATCCTTAGTTCACTTAATGATTTTACTCATATTTGAACCTACCCTATCAAATTGAGCTCGTGATCTATTCAAGTGCATGAACGATAGTACTCATATTTGAACCTACCCTCTCAAATTGAGCTCGTGATCTATTCAAGTGCATGAACGATATTACTCATATTTGAACCTACCCTCTCAAATTGAGCTCGTGATCTATTCAAGTGCATGAACGATATTACTCATATTTGAACCTACCCTCTCAAATTGAGCTCGTGATCTATTCAAGTGCATGAACGATATTACTCATATTTGAACCTACCCTCTCAAATTGAGCTCATGATCTATTCAAGTGCATGGACGATAGTACTCATATTTGAACCTACCCTATCACACTAAACTTATGAACTCTTCAAGTGCATGAACGATTTTACTCACATTTGAACCTACCCTATCAAATTGAGCTCATGAACTATTCAAGTGCATGAACGATTTTACTCATATTTGAACCTACCCTATTACACTAAACTTATGAACTCTTCAAGTGCATGAACGATTTTACTCATATCTGAACATACCCTATCAATAATCTGTTTGACTAATCCATTCCATTCACCAGTCTTCTCGTCTTTAGATCCGAACTTTCCATCGGGAACTTTCTCGATAAAATAATTAAATTTTACAATTTTGGCAATTTCATTTAATAAATCGATACAGAAGCCCTCGTATTTAACACCATCTGAACCAATTACCTTCTTCTCCATTATAAACGGCTCACCCTGAAATAAACGATAAGTTACATCGTAACAAACATATACGTTACGCTAAATAAGGACCAAGAAACTACAAGATGGCACAGAAATAGGCAGTAAATTAAATAATTATATATGAATTAGTATTTTTACAATAATTAAACATTTTCACTCTATTGTCTGAAGGTTGCATAACGTGAAACTCTGATTAAAAACATGCTTCAAGATATGTTTTATATATTTTTATTACTATTTTTATAATATTACTTATACAAATCTATTGACTTCATCTCTATACCTTGTGTTATGCATTTATATACTTTCAATATAGCCAGACCTTACACGATGTATGTGCTATTGCCAAGCATTCAATAATGCGTTTCTCGAAAATATGTTTACTTCGTGATATGACAATGTTTATATGAACAATAGAACTTAATTGAACTCAAAGCAAACTGTCAAGTCAACACTTCCAAACGTGCAAATTATTCGTAGCAGAGGGCATATGTACGAGTGTCTATTGGATGATGTCTATAGGTGCACTCACACAATAGCGATTACCAGTTGCGTATAGTAGCGAATAGAGGAAGTGGCCATGAGTTCAGGACAACATAGTTGCATAAGAGTTGCGTTATATAACTTATAACCGGTATTCTTATTCGCAACTGGTGAACGATATGGTGTGAGGGCAAATAAAGAAATTAATTTATTCAGGAAAATATTTTGCTCTGCTTTGTTTTAAGGCCATGAATTGATAAATATTATAAACTATATACTGAAAGGCCCAACATACCGTGTACCAGAATCTAAAAGGGCATAGCATATTCATATAACAAGAAATGTATGCTATTTGGTGGAATGGCAAGCGGCCATTTTTACTTTATTATATATCTGCAGGGAACATATGACATTCATGGTCTTCATGCCTTTCGCGCCAATTATCACACGTTCCAATATGGCGGCAATTAACGTCTGTCCCCGCAGACTCCCTGTCATAACATTTCATTACTGTATAGTGATATAGTTACACCTAGCCAGGAAAATAGAACATTCCTAAGTCACTACGGGACGGTTGTTGATATCTTTTATTAATTATATATTGAAGCAGACGAGTGGGATTATTTCACATGTTTTTACAACAAACATTTTTATTATTACGGAATTGGTAAATTAACACCCGTTATTCCATTTTCGTTATTCCAATTCTTAACACTAAAACCGTTTCATGTATGTTCTGCCATTTTGAGCTGAATTATCGCTCTAGAAAATGGTGGTGAATGCTGACCGGAAGTGAAACTCAGGTAAACATAGAAATATGCCATGCTCATTATTCCCGTCGACCCAGTAGTAAATGGGTACTGAATAAGTCATCGTTCCCCATTATTCCCGTCGACCCAGTAGTAAATGGGTACTGAATAAGTCATCGTTCCCCATTATTCCTATCGATCGAATATTAAATGGGTACTAAATAAGTCATCGTTCCCCATTATTCCTGTCGACCCAGTAGTAAATGGGTACTGAATAAGTCATCGTTCCCCATTATTCCTGTCGACCCTGTAGTAAATGGGTACTGAATAAATCATCGTTCCCCATTATTCCCGTCGACCCAGTAGTAAATTGATGCTGAATACGTCATCGTTCCCCATTATTCCCGTCGACCCAGAAGTAAATGGGTACTAAATAAGTCATCGTTCCCCATTATTCCCGTCGACCCAGTGGTAAATGGGTACTGAATAAGTCATCGTTCCCCATTATTCCTGTCTACCCAGTAGTAAATGGGTACTGAATAAGTCATCGTTCCCCATTATTCCCGACGACCCAGTAGTAAATTGATGCTGAATAAGTCATCGTTCCCCATTATTCCCGACGACCCAGTAGTAAATTGATACTGAATAAGTTGTCTTTTCTCATTTTTCGAGTCCTTTTATGGGCTTTGCTTTACATAATTTTTCTTTTCAGTTTGTTATTATCAGAATTGTAACACGTTGGATATCCCTTATAATTTGTCAAGCAGTTGTTTTGGTTTTTCGTTTTAGAACTTGGTAATATCGATTCTCGTCCAAGTCATTTGTCTCTCTACTTGATTTTCGTTGACTTTATGTCGACCAAATGGAGGAAAACAAATCAAAATTGGAATCGTCTGCTCGGGGTTTGTTTAAGGCGGGAAAACGTTTAATAAATTGGAATTTATCAATTATATCAACAATATAATGATAGCGTTTACATCCAATTCTCCACGATTTCTAATTCAAATAAACCCCAATAGTTGAACTTCAAAGAAACAAGAAATTAACCGCGTCTTTTGATGGCTAATGTGGGTGATTTACGCGCCATTTTAAAAAGATTTGTGCTCAATCTTTGAAGATCGTTCGCCTGAAGAACCAATTAAAATACAATCCTGCCTAATTTTCTTTACACAAATTCTTTAATAAGAAGGTTGAATTTATCGACACAAGATAATGTCTCTTAATAATTCACCAATCACAAAACAGCTTTTACATTTACTGTGGTCCTAGAAACATTTACCCCGAGACTACAACCGCCATTAAATCATCATGAATGCTGTTTTTTGTTTTAAATTCCCATCAACAAGTCATCGATTTTCCTATAAATCTCAAGTGTTTTTTATCATTTTCATCTTTAAAGAATTGATAGTTGATTGACAATACTAAACCAATTACTGAAGCAGTTGAAAATAACTAGTTTATGATTGGTTGCTAGTTTTAACAGTTATCCAATTAAATACCACGGTTTGTATTCTAGCTAGCACATTTTATACAGAAACAAGATTTAGTCCTTTAGTCCTGTATATCTTACAAACAGTCGGCTAAATACTGACCTACTCCAGAAACACTTGACGTCTCTCCCATTATAGTCATATAGGGAGATAATTAAATATTGAAAGCCACATTTGATGAAATGGTCTATGGCGGAAATGCGTTGGTGTTTGAAGTATGTACTGACCCAATTAACTGAACTTTTGGAATTAATCCATGCGTTTACACACACCAACAAGCAAAATATTTTCTGGTTAAACAAAACAGCATACATAAAACATGCTCAAAAAGAGGGATATTCACAAAAACAGTGATAAAATAATAGATGTGAAGAGTAAGGTTGATTTGTATCAATCAAGTTTTCTAAAATGCATATGTGACATGGTATGGGCAAACAGTATAATGGTTATATAAATAAAACACTATTACGGACATACTACTCCTCTTTGTTTTAAGCAACGTTTCAATTCGCATACAGGAATCTTTTTCAAGCAAAGGATTCCTGTATGCGAATTGAAGTGGAGTAATATATCCATAATAATCTTTTATTTAAATAATGTTCTAAGTACTTCTAAATGTCATTTAAGTATTATAGTACAATGGTTGTTCAAAGCAAATATAACGAACTAAGAGTGCCCAGGTTTTTGTTTGGTGTTTTAAAAAAAAGTCCCAAAAGAAAGCAACGATTGTCAAAAGCGAGTCATTAGATAAATGCGAATAGACGAAGCACGGGGCCCCGACCAGAGTACTGCGTTTTCTGTCAACGCTTGCTAATACACGACGTCCCGACGCCGTGCCATGTGTATTAACTTTCAAATATTCCAACTGTATTGATCATCGTACACGACATAGGATATCGTATACAAAAACAATGCGGCGTCTATTCGCATCTTTCGATATATTAAGCAATGTTGCAATGTTCAGGGTAGGGAAGCATGCATGCATTCATTCAAGCTATGTGGCCAACAAAACTTTCTATAAAACTACACAGTGGGTTACTGTTGGCACTCATGTCATTGATCCTAGTATATAATTATGTCAGGACGCATAAAGCACGTGCATGGGTTAAACCTATTTTCTGTCTTTCTGTTTGAAAGCAAAAGAATGTTTCGAAATTTTACATTCGTCCGTTTAAACTAAAAAAATGTTTTAACTATTGTTTTTGCTCAAGATCAATGACGTAAGCGCCCACCGTTACCCGGATGTTAACGTACCACGAGCGTGGTAACTGACAATGTCAGGGTTGCGTTCTACAATATAAAAATTTACATAAATGAATAAATAATGAACATAATTAACATAAATTTAGTAATTAACATAATATAAATAAGGGAAAAATAAATAAACAAATGTGTATATTAAATTAACTTAAAAAAGATAAACATAGATAAAAGATTAGATATTTGGAATTCTAATAAGTTAAATATACAACATTGAAAATACAGAGTCATGTTAGTCTAGTATAGGGTTTCTCAAGTAAATAAGCTGAAGTGCCACTTTTATTGTTTGGAATTGCTACAGCGCCACGAACCTTGGCGAAGCGGTTGTTTCTGCGATGTTGCAAACGTCGAGTTGTGGTCCAGACATTTTACAAGTATAGCGTGTTTTACAAGGCGTATCCTATTATCATACAGTTGATAGTTGATAAAGAAGATAATGGACAAGACAGAATCGAATAAAAATAAACTTCTGAAGCGAATAACTAAGTTAGGATCGATCAATGTCAGATTATGTGCATTCTAACTCTGGGCAACAATCATTTCCAAAGAGACATACAGCAATTTGGAACATCTTAATGTGCAGTTATGTTATTTTATGTAAACTAAGACTGAGAGCCGGCTTTGAATAGCTTTTGTGAATTATCATCGTATCACAAATGCGGGTTTTGACATGGTCTTATTAACCCGTATTACACTACGCCCACTACACTTCGTTTTGGGGGCGTAGAAATTAGATTGTTGGCATTTGAATCTGACCAATCATATTGGTAGAACAACACCGCTTTGCCGCCGCCCGTTTGAAGAGATAAGAACACATTCTTTCCAAGTAAATATTCCAAAGTAAGGTTCGATTTCTCTCGGCTTCAATTTTTAACGAAAATCTTTCTCAATTCTGTACCGTACATATTCATCAAAATATGTAATGGCACGCTGCTTTCGTTAAGTTTACGTTCGCAAACAAAGCGTCATAAGGAGTGATTTGTTTTGATTGGTTGAAATTTGCTACCAATACAGTAGGACCAGTTTTGATTGGACAATATTTAGCTATGAATACGTAATTTTTCTCACTTGTGTTACCACGGCCCCGTGAATCATATACTAAATTACTTTCCTCAATACTTCAACTATATATTATTACGAAGTTTGTTACCTCTGTTTTACGGAAGAATGGCCAGATAGAATTCAAATGTCAGACTAATGGCCGCATGGCACGCAAATATCAGACTAATGGCCGCATGGCACGCAAATATCAGACTAATGGCCGCATGGCACGCAAATATCAGACTAATGTTATGTCCTAGTAATGACCGGATAACTTTCAAATAACGGTCGCATATTTTTCAAATGTCAGAATCTTTCGTCGGATAGCATTCAATATCAGACTAATGGCTAGATATCATTCAAATGTCAGATTAATGGGCGGATATCATTCAAATGTCAGATTAATGGGAATCAGCATCAGAACAGGGGTATAACTCATTAGAGTAGTCAATAAACCATTAACGACTAGCAAGATATTGTCATTCTGCATATCATTTATATACGATAATGGTAACTTTCAAATAGGTTTCTAAATTAATATGGATTTCACGATAGTTTCATTTTAGAGACATAATGGTAAGGACCAATTGTACAACTGGTATATGAAAGATTTCCTTTCTTGAAATATCTTGACGATTAAATGACACAATGTCTGCAGATCAAGTTTTAGACTAAATTTGTTGCTCCTCTCTAATGGAAAATCGGTCAGATTCTATTCAAAGGTTAATTAAGTGACATGGATTGTATAACTGTTTAATAGAAATATGAAGGGAAATAAATAACCTTAATTGACATGATTTATCATCAATATCTAAAAAATTGCTTGTGGCGCCACCATCGTCTGTAATCATGTTTTACATGCTTAATTCATTGACCCTAGAACTGTAGTTGAAAAATAGACCTGTATTTTTGAGCTCTTGAATACATCTTGAAAATGTGGAATGCAGTAATAATGTCCGACTAGAAATATAGGAAGGAAGGAAAGGTAAAGTGTCTTTTTAACTTAAAATGTATCTTTATTAGCCATTTTGTGTATATTATTACAGTCTAACCTAGCTGTTAATAGATACCGGTTACACACAACCCGGCAAAGATCAAAGCCAAGAAATTTGCTAAAGGACCAGCTGGTAGAAATGATCCATTCTTGAAAATTATAGACACGTTCTGACCAAGGGCTACCCATAGGCTCCTCCTTGACAGAATGTTGTTATCCATGCAAATCAAAATCATTTCGGCTTGCTGCCGACAAGTTCCTTGAGGATTGGAGGATTGTTTCCCTTGTAAACTATTATTGTTTCCTTCTGAGCAATTGACAAAATTATAAATATTAATTTCACTCACCAATATCGTTGTAACAACTAAAGTTTTATTTCCAAATGGATTCATATGCTTAGTTCCAGGCACGTATGTAAAATTAACTCCCTTGTCGTACTTCCACGTTCCTGACTGAAAGAATCATAGAATATTATTATTATTATCAGCAATTAACCTTATTAAAAATTCAAATCTTGATCTTCACCTTAGTTTCATCCATGATCTGTATAGATTGTATATCAAATTGTGTTCTTGATCGGTTAGATTTTAATGACACAGCCAATAAGATGCACGACAGTTTATTCAGATAATGTATGGAACGTTGAAACATCCTCAGAAAATACACGCAACTAAACATCCCGCATTTTACAAATACTGATTAGCAATAATAAGCGATGTAATTAAAGGGCTTCTCTGACGTCCGCGCCAGTAAATAACATTAAATATATGTACATACGATGTTTTGTCTTAACGTTGTAGCAGTAATAAATTAAATTTAGGTTTATTCTAAATATTTCATTACAGTATATGATATATGCTTTCTTTCACGTCCGCGTCAAATAAAATAAACTAAAATATTTTGTAATATATATCAATAATTGTAAAAGTAAGGATAAGAGTTACAATACCTTGAGTAAACCTGGAGGTTTTAATTGTAATATATCTAACTGAAAATCATATCTTCTACCTTTCTGTAGTTTGATATTACCGGTCATACCTCGCATTGATACCTACAATATAGATATAGTCCGTGATCTTCTACAATATAGTTGGAGGAGGAGGAACTGTAGCAGTCTGTAAGATCATTAGAGACTTTACATGGTGTCATTTGCTTGGTTATATCGAACAACTGGTGGTCGTAGGTTCTAACTCCAGTCGATTTCAAGAAGCCTAGTGGCCTTAAATAAGTTACCTTTCTGCATTATTCCAGCAGACCCAGATGTAAATGGGTACGGTTAATCGGGGAAAAATCAAATCCAAGAGATTTGGTCAAGGAATCCTCATATAGGTAATGAATGTAAAGTGATTTTGACACTTGGTCATTTCGATACAAATTTTTAGTCATTCATTTAAGTTTATTATATCAGCTTTCATTTTGGACTCGGTTTTCGGGAATACGATTCGAGTCATTTAGGCACATGGTCATTTCAGTACAAACACCGTCGTGGTCCTTCATCGGCCCATTGTCATGCTACTATTCTTACCTGAGTTAAATATGTATAAAGACTGGGTCCCGAGGACCAGGGTTGGGGGATATCACAGCTAACATTTACAGGTCGTAAGACGGCGCCACGATCATAAGCTTCTAGCGCATGCGCCAGTAAAAATACAGCGTCAAATATCAGTGCCACTTCATGCTGGAAAATAGAATCATTCAGAAAGTTAAATCGTAAGTTCCTTACATTGATAAAGAATTGAAAAGTAATGGATTCCCGAACAAGCTACATGTTTGGTATGAAAATGGGTATTGTAGATTATTAATATACATACTCAAATTATATATAATGGATTGATTGTTGATAATTTCTCCAAATTCAATACATTAAGTCAGATTTATGAAAATGAATCCCCTGACATATTATCATTTCCGATTTCTGTGCAATTTGTACTTCCGGTAAACTTAGTTTAATACCAAAGCCTATAATTTTGATATTACAGATCGATGAAACATCACATTTTAGCAATATTTAAAACAGATTTCCATTCTAATTAGCTTCCTGACATTTTTAACTTGACATTTGAATCAAGGATATGTCTGAATTAATGTACCAAATCAAAAATAGTTTTTTTTAAAAAAAAACTATTTTAAATATTGAGCTGGTTAAATAAATATTTAGATAACTACATCGCGTTCAAAATTTTGACATTTTGAATTAGAATTTGTATCAAGGCTGGTTTTAGTCATAGAATTGGTGTAGTTTCTGAGAACTATTAGTTTTTTTCTATTTTTACAATCTTTATATCAGGAGACGAAATATTATTTATCATTTCATTTATAGCTTTTAAACTCTCGTTCACGTGAACTTTACGAGATGTTATTATATCACATGACCTTCGCATTGCTCTAGTTTCCATGGTGAAATATTGTTTAATCTCAAACTCAAAGCATTTCGATGTAATCTTTATGATTTATACACCACAATTTTCTACGGATAACAACCAGTTTTTATCTAATATCCATCCGACACGGAATATATTCTCTTAATTCGACCCGGATGCCCCAAGGTACATAAATAAGCTACAATGGTTGATATGATTGCGAAACTAGATTGGTTAGAGATTACCGGATGTCGGCTGCACGCTAGTAAAATATGATTATCAGATTTAGTGGGTAAGTTTCAGATTAAATTCACTACCTTATATGGGTATCTAGAGACTGCCATTCAGCCTCGTTTTAATTACATATCTTATACCCAAGATGCACTAATTTGATTGGTGATATGGCAGAGATTTAATTAAAAGAAATCTCGTGATTTCACGAGAGAATAGAGACTACAAATTCATCTCATAAACTGTGTTGAGCCAGCAACCGGTGAACAGTAATTTTGTAATGTAACAATTTATATCGAAATGTAGCTCAACCTATTCCATTGTTATTTTTCTTTAAATTCAGATAACCTTTTCTCGAAATTTAATCTTAAGATAATGTTTTCGACCCAGTTATCTAAAATCATTATATACATTCTAAATGAATTATAATCAACCAGTGTAAACTGCATATCTGAGTTTAATCTTAATTTTAAAAGAGAGTTATCTGCAATCCTATAAATTTTCTCGTCATGTTAATGGTTCGTTATCAAAGGGACCAGGTCTCTAAGAAATCCAATCCAAATTAAGTCTGACATTATATCCATCATTATTGTACGAATTATGACCGCAAATAATTAACCCATCGCAAGAAAGAGTAACTTAGGCGATATTTAATTTACACATTTCTTATTCATATCGGTACTCTTGACAACTTATTACCAGTTGCGGTGCCAGCCTCCCGAGACTGGGGTACAAATAGGGGTGCAGACTGACTCGATGGGGTTGCGGGGGGGACAAATGCCGGGACTGAACTAAAATTGCGGCAACTCTGCGGAAGCGTTTTGTCGCGAGCTTCTAATGGATCATCTGAGAGGGTTCGAAAAATTGAGCTGATTTGGCACATTCTGGCACATATCTTAGAGCATAATCGTATAAAATACATATTTTTTAATTTGTTGAAAATAAAATGGGGGAACAGTTTTGTGATTTTTAATAGACGCCCCCCCACCCCCCAACCTGTACCCCTATTGGCACCGCCACTGCTATTTGCACCTGAATGCACCAAGGAGAAGAACCAGGAAGTCCGCTGATATCGCGAGAGTAATGGAGAAATCAACTGGTTGAAGATAAACAGTATAATTATACTGATACTGATTATATATATTACACTTGTTACAGCTGACATAGATACAGTGTATAGAGGTTTATTTTACACGTGACAAATGAGGAACATACAGAGAATAAGGCCAGAAAGAACAGTAAAACAGAAGACGTTTTGCAAGGATATAGGGTCGTCTCTATTTCTATACGCTACCAGCTGATAGAGGCACATTTTAGTTACTCTTGTTTGATGTACTGTAACGTGTAGGGATGAATCCATCTAGATACTCTGAATAGTACCTACGGAATATACCCGATGCATGTATTATAAATAGGCTTACAGGAATTCCCTTATACTATAAATAGACTGACAGGAATTCCCCTTATACTATAAATAGACTTACCGGCACTGATAAATAACCACTTTTATTTAATAATTTTAATTCTGTTTGCATTTCGTAAATCTCCATATCTTTCATCAGTTCTTGTGTTAATCTGTCCCGGGGATTAACTAATCTAAATCCGGTCAGATTAACATAGTTGTGACGATAATCTTCCATGTCTATAGATTCTATATCCTGCAATGACAATTTAAGAAAATGTTTGTAACAATCACACAATAAATACCAAGAGAAGGGTCAAGTTGACCATTTGCACAAAATATTTGTAACAATCATACAACGACTCCACCAATTGAAAGCAAAAAAGAAGAAAAAATCATCTCCAGAGAGGCAGGCCATGTCTCACCCGTTTGTTCACATCAGATACTACATTCTCATCAGAACTGGTTCAACGATGAGCACCTGCCTGGCACGTCTTAGAAAACAGACATCTACACAATGATCTCTGCACTTGGCATGGTAATCTAAAGGACACATACTGGACCTGTCATTTATTTGCAGAATATAAAAAAACTTACTAAATTGCTAATAATATAATGATGGTAGGGATCTATCATTCCCTCTTGTAGCGCCTGAAACAATTGCAAATGACTATTATTAAAATTTTAACAGAGTAAAGATTATATAAAGATAGCGTCGTCAGATTGGAAGGAGATGGGCATATTCATAACACACTTGTCTTTACAGTTGAATGCATCAACAGCTTTTATTTAACATTTCGATGTGTTTGCCCGTCACGTTTATACAACTTTAAATGTTTTCAATAATCTGATTAAGTATTCGTGCACATAGAAATGAATTTTCCATCTTATTTGTATTCAACATCAGACGTTCACACTCCGACCGCTAATAGAACCAACGACCTCCATTTATACGACGCATGCACGCAGAAGCCGTTTTCAATTTACTTGGAAGGGAGAAGGAAAGGCAGAAGAGATTATAAATATATAGAAGGCGGAGAAGAAGATAGTTGCAAGGGGCAATGAAAGAATCTCACCATTTTTAGAAATAAACCAGTGTCATCTACTGATAAATCTATTAATAATTTGGTCCACTTCTTTTCTTTACATTCTTTTAAAACATTCCTCATATTGTACTTGTCTACTTGTCGTACCATAATCTCAAACGCTTGATCGTAGGCACCACGTATTACTGACTGAACTTTTAATAAATCTACAAAATAAACAACACAGGCACCAGGTATTACTGACTGTACTTCTAATAAATCTATAAAATAAACAATACAGGCACCACGTATTACTGACTGTACTTTTAATAAATCTATAAAATAAACAACACAGGCACCACGTACTACTGACTGTACTTCTAATAAATCTATAAAATAAACAACACAGGCATCACGTATTACTGACTGTACGTTTACTAAATCTATAAAATAAACACCACAGGCACCACGTATTACTGACTGTACGTTTACTTAATCTATAAAATAAACAACATAGGCACCACGTATTACTGACTGTACTTTTAATAAATCTACAAAATAAACAACACAGGCACCACGTATTACTGACTGAACTTTTAATAAATCTATAAAATAAACAACACAGGCACCACGTATTACTGATTGTACTTTTAATAAATCTATAAAATAAACAACACAGGCACCACGTATTACTGACTGAACTTTTAATAAATCTATAAAATAAACAACACAGGCACCACGTATTACTGATTATATTTTTAATAAATCTATAAAATGAACAACACAGGCATCACGTATTACTGATTGTACTTTTAATAAATCTATAAATTAAACAACACAGGCACCACGTATTACTGACTGTACTTTTAATAAATCTATAAAATAAACAACACAGGCATCACGTATTACTGACTGTACTTTTAATAAATCTATAAATTAAACAACACAGGCACCACGTATTACTGACTGTACTTTTAATAAATCTATAAATTAAACAACACAGGCACCACGTATTACTGACTGTACTTTTAATAAATCTATAAAATAAACACCATAGGCACCACGTATTACTGACTGAACTTTTAATAAATCTATAAAATAAACACCATAGGCACCACGTATTAATGACTGAACTTTTTAATAAATCTACAAAAAAAAAACAACCCAGGCACCACGTATTAATGACTGTTTATTTAATAAATCTACAAAATAAACAACACAGGCATCACGTATTACTGGCTGAATTTTTAATAAATCTACAAAAAAAAAAACAACCCAGGCACCACGTATTACTGATTGTACTTTTAATAAATCTACAAAATAAACAACACAGGCACCACGTATTACTGACTGTACTTCTAATAAATCTATAAAATAAACAACACAGGCACCACGTATTACTGATTGTACTTTTAATAAATCTACAAAATAAACACCACAGGCACCACGTATTACTGATTGTACTTTTAATAAATCTACAAAAAAAAAAACAACCCAGGCACCACGTATTACTGATTGTACTTTTAATAAATCTACAAAATAAACACCATAGGCATCACGTATTACTGACTGTACTTTTAATAAATCTACAAAATAAACAACACAGGCATCACGTATGAACTTTTAATAAATCTACATCGTTGTGTCTCTTTCACAAATGTATAATTGAACTTTTTCATATTCCTGAAACATCGTGTTTTGAATTGTATTCGGGTATGCAAGCTTGCTAGACTATAGCCTTTTATGTTTGAAAGGATACTATGATGGGAATTTTATTGTTTTGCATCGAACCGGTATGTTCAATATATCTTTGCTTGACTACTTGTTATATGTTTAGAAAAGAATAAAATGAGAAAATCCTTCAAGAAGAGAATTTATTTTCCAAATGAGAAATGTATTCAACTTACCATCTTTGGTTCCATAAATAACTAACATTTGTTTCCACCCATAATATCTTATAACGTCAATAAAGGCTTTACTTAATGTTTCTATATCAGGATACAAGTTGATTGACAGGCCGGGGGCGGGGTTAGCGATTGTATCCATACGCAGTTCTAAATGCGGAAGTTGTAATGAGGCACATAATGAATTAACAAACCCAGCTAAATTACTACTCCTAGGTCCTAACACAGCTACTGTATTTAATTCTACTTGGTAACAAACTGTAATAGAAAAAATAGAACAAGGTGTAATATGCGCGTGCATTTCTATAAATTTCGAGTACAAAACAATGAAGGTTGTTTGGTTTGAAAAGTCACTGTAAGTTTTGTTAAATAAGACAATTCACTAAGGAGAAAATACCATGTTAATAGTTTGATACCAACATGTGGAAAGGGAACCAAAAGGTATTTTCAATGTAAACACCAAGATTGGGACTGAATTGTAAAGATGTGACACTGAATCACCATTTCCCTTTCTGACTGGTTTCTGTAATTCGAAAAAACGTTGTCTAGTATAGACTGTCTGTATCTGGTTCAAAATAGGATCCAAATCAGAGGGTTTGAATTCTTAAAATCATGTGGTCATTCCTAGGGTTGAAATTACTAATCTAATAAAATATAAGTATGACTACGTAGAATCTAATCCTTTTTTTCTAAATCTAGACATTATGGTATTATGTGAATTGGTGCACTTTTAACCAAACTTGGTATTTTATTTAATTGTTGTCTGGTTTTATAATGTATCTTTAAGTTTTAAAGAGCACATAATTACTCGTAAATATTATTCATGCCTTTTAATCATATTTACGAACATGGCGTCACATTCTATCTTTTAATTGGAATTACAGGAACCTCCTCGGAATCAATGTGAAGTAGAACGCACTGTAATGTAAAAGTACGGTTGTGGTTATCACGAGTTTATAACGTCGGGAAAAAAGGAATAGTTCAAAAATAATATAAATATCTCTAATATACATGCACAGTCCAGACAACCTCTGTTAACTCTCTTCAAGCTTCAACCTGTGAGTTTCATACCTAGGTTATGACAATCATGTCAATCGTTTATAAGGCAAAGCACAGTTAAATCGTATAAGGTCGATCGTTCATTCCAGACACGCCATAACTAAGAACAAGTAATAAAACATGTCTAAAGTGGCGAGATTTCAACAAAAAGGACAGAACACTTTGAGAAAAAAGCAATAAGAGGTTGATTTATCTTTATTAAAGATGGCGGGTGACTATCGTCTGTAAGAATTAAAATGTCTAATGTGATTGGTTGTTAAATAAATGTGACAATAGAATGATGTAATGTGATTGGTTGTTTTATTACGGTCTATAAATAGATTGTTCTACTGAAAACTTGACAAAACAAGGAAAGACAACTTGACTTAATTTGTGATTATCTGGACCAAGTAAAGTGACCATTGGATTAATAGGATTTGAAAAATTGGAATCTGGACATTGACTGACTGAGATGGGAATCGAAACCTTATTCGTTTAACACAAATAGGATCAGACCACTTTATTGTTGTTAGAATGAATAGTAATACTTCCAGTATGTTGTGTGGATTTCGAGTTTCGTTTCACAGTTTTATAAAAAATATAATAATTTTATATTTTGTTCAATGGTAGAGTAATTTTAACTAAAAAAGTCAGACATATATTGTGTCCATTGGGACCGAAACTATTAAAATAGAGTAATCGAATTATGTGTGCAAACATCGCCTAAACATGTACCGATCGTGTTTTCATCCTGCAAAGTCAAATGCAAATATGATGAAAAGTTTCTAGTCGACAACGTTTTTTTCAGTTTTGCAATAAATGTCTCTCAAAAATTGCCGAAGACTCATTGCAAAAACAGACTTATTCAATACATGCATTCCCTCCAAAACACAGTCCATTCAATGGCCACCAACAATTTCAATGTAAGATATAAAACTATCCTTATATAATAAATCTTGTGAGTAAATACATACACTATGTCCCGAGGGGTTGACATGGTCCGAACTCAAAACCACTCAGCCTTTTCCTCTTGCATTTAATATTGACACCCTCTTATTAAAAACATTTTCACCAATACTATTCGATATACCATGAATAAAATAATGTTTAGAATGAAAAGTCTGATGTACTAGTTTTGGCGCGAAAGGTTGACATCTGTCATTATAATTATGGCGGTCAATGAAGGAAGAAAAGGTCTGAGGTGTTGTTTCCGGTCACGTTGTTGTCAGATATCATGTAAGGAGGTCAGAACAACATTGACACGAACGTTAACGTCATCCACTATCCAACTAACCGACATTGATGTGTTACGGTGTTTTCACTAATTGATTATAGTGGTCCAGTAAATACAGACGAGTTGTTGAAACCGAGACATTTTACAGCCGTCTGTCTCGACACTTATACAACATTTCTTTCTGTAAGTGTTTACGACTTCACAATATTAGTATTGTGGTCAATATGCACCATTTGTCTTTCATTTCTCGTAATAATTCATATTCACCAGAGGCGTTTTACGGTCCCACCCACACTTAAATGTCTTTGCATTTTATATATGGAAAGAATCGCCTGCCCTCCACCCTATAATGACAATTCTGTGGCCTGTAAGCCAACCCCCCACCTCCCCCGGGACAATTCTGTCACCTCTTCTCGCCCAATCACCTTATGATTCATAGAAACGCCATTCTTTTCTCGTCTGACTTGTTCTACATTATTATTTATACTGATATGTATCTTCTGTGGGCTTAGGGTAATATTTTAGTGGGAGTATCCGCCGCTTTAATTTGGTATATTTTGAAATATGTAATAGGCCTAGTCTGTAAACAGGAACACACATTGAATGTTATGGTAAAGCAACTTGACATATTTAAAGTTTTAAGATCAGCTGATCTGATCAGTTTTAAGTGAAGTCTATTTTTGTTTGAAAACTGCATATTTACATTAAATTTATCATCGGATATTTGTACTCAATAAACTTGTTTAAGAAAATAAAACAACTTATTATCTTCATTATCTTAAACATCAAAGAAAATTAATTCTCCATAACATGTCTAAGTGTCCGTTAACGTTGAGTGGTGAAGAATTTTGGTAGAAGATATCCTCGAAGTTAACGTCCTGCTCCTGTGTTTGGGTTCGCTAAGTTGGTCAAAAGCTTCAAGACCAAATGTATGAACGTTTGTCTACATTTCGATATATAGCTAAACTGATGAGGATTTTGTACCAAAAACACATGTTAACAGTGAACTCAAATTAATTAGATACCAACTTAGGAATGAGTCATTGATTGTTACTTCGGGTAATTTCGCTTTCGTTGACTGAAAAGTCCATGTCTATATTTGGCTTGATAATCTAGTCCAAGAGTGTCGTCAGATGTTGCAGAAGAGTAAGCATGAATAATTCAACTGTAGAAATAACACCACAGTATTATAGATGAGCTAAAATAGCTTCTTGATAGCAATCACTGACTGAGACAAAATATAGTAATAGTAGGTGCCTACTTTGTAATTATTAAGACTAAAACCATGACCATCTGCCTGTGTGTTTACTCGAGTACAAACCTTAATCGTTTCACCAGATTTTCTAATCACACAATAATTCATTAGAACTAAATTAAAAAACTCCCAATTCACATTCTTTCAAGGTCTAAACTAAGAAAAAATATGGAAATTTTTGCTGTTGTTGCTATAAAAATTGCTTTCTGCTGCTATTTTTTTGTTAATTAATGTGATCTACTGCCCTTCTTTAAATACTAATCCGGTAAAAAACAATTCACATCTAGTTTTGTTTCTTCTTTTTACAATTTAACTTCTAATACTACGTTCCCATGTTTCGAAATGAAAAATGTTTCGAAATTTCAGCAATATTTAGCTCTTAATTTACAAAATGACCAACTAACGAACTGTAATAAGCCAATGGTTAAAGTCCAAACTGGTTTTATTTCGTGTTTTACTGAGAGTGACGCTGCATCATCAAAGACAAATCTCATATACAACGATTTGAATAACCGAATTGTAAAAGTTCCGATTTTTCGAAATATCAACAACGTTTAGCTCTTGACGTACAAAATGACCAACTAACGAACTGGAGTAAGCCAGATTATACAACGCGGTCAAGAAGAACATTTACAAACCACCAATCTGAGAATCAGTCAAAATGCTTCAATCACGACCTGACAATAACAGACTTTCAAAGTGGTCTGAGCAATTCCTGCTAATTTCTTAAGAGGTCTGGCTAGTTCTCAGTCAAACTATTCTAAATGGAAGTCGGTTCTAGATTGTCATGGCAATTACAGAAATTAAGCCACATCTACGTCATTACCAAACGCATTAGGTTTTTACTTTTTGTTGGCCAAAAAATTTACAGTAACAATTTGTAAAGTTAAATTATTTATAAACTACTTGCATTCAATCCGATTTTCAAGAGCTATTAGCATGGATCCGAAACTTTCGTCAGTGTTTAAGACACGATATGGCTGCAAAAACTGATGATTGAAAAAAAAGTCTATTAGCAATAAAGCATGCAGAGTATTTGAAGCTTTTTCATCCTTCTCTCTCTGCCGATTTCACAAAGAACAGTTTGCATGTTACTCGAAGCCTTTCATCGAAACCTTTTTTCGCCACCAATAGTCTGTCTGCAATCTGTATCGGGGTAAATCCCTTATTAAAATCTGCCACTGTTCGAGACACAACAAGTAATGTATTTAAAGAAGTATATTAATGTCTGTATCAGCTGGAATATTAAATAACAAATCCACCACAGTCAAATTATTAAAATAATCACTGAGATGGTGGAATTTACATAACTTCATTGATTCTTAACAGTGTTGTCTTTCCCTTTCTTCTTGTTTTATGATATAAAACTAATTCATTCATTCTGTGTAATGAATAGCACCCATACTTTCGTTGCACCTAATTGATAGCTACAAGCCCGTGTGGTCTCTTTATTAAAGGGAAATTACTCTCCCATTAGCTTCCGGTTAGCTATCACGTTAAAATAGAAATAATTCATTCATTCATTTCTATTTTTTGTTTAAAAAGTTCAGTGCCACAAAAACGTGTATTAAATAACCAAATAGAGTCTACATTGAAGTTTCAAAACGCCTGACCCTGAATAAAAACTAGGAAAGAAATGTTATTGAAGACATCAAACTAATAAAGTGACAGTAATATTATTAAATAACTTCACGTAAATTATATCAATGAAGTATTTTCATTTCACTAAAAGCTACTATCGTCTGTATCGTGTCACTCCCGCCTTCTCATTGTCGTCTGTCAACCTTTCCGTAACAGACGATCTGGAAATGGCAATACTAAAGTAGCAATATCGCGTTCAAAAAGTCAATTCATCAAATCAATTTCTTCAATATATCAAATATTAATATCAATTTCCGGATAACTACCTCCACTTCCGGTTCCATATTCCTTGCCGGAAGTTGTCGGCTGTATGAGAGTATCGAAGTTAATGATGTTATCGATTGCCTCGTCAGTGAAACTGTACTATTAGATACTTGTATCATGTGTACTATTACTTTAAGGCATATAGTCGTCTAATAAGGGTGGACGTTAATTTACAATTTAAAACATTTAATATATCAGTCTAAAACTGAATGATGTGGTGAAAAATACACCTACGGCATCTTGATATATTGCAGGTAAACCCGATGTCAGACTAAAATTAAGATCTTCATTTGTTGTCAAAGAAAACGGTTAATCGAATATGCTCCTTTAACATGGTATAAAAAAGAAACATATAAATCGTTATTTGAAAAGAATGTTTGTAGGTCGCTGTCAGATATTGTGATGTTTTTAAATAGAAAAATCTTCAATGCATTAAAACATCAATAGTAAGAATTTGGGGAACGAACACAATTGCTTGATAAACAGAAATATTATCAGAAATATATCGCAATATCGCCAAACTTTTAATACTATACAGATCGTTCTTTTCATCTTCTCATTCCATAAAAGATTTTCATCATTGATACCTGTTGATACTGCTTAATGATACATATTTTGGAAGAACATTAAATTAAATTTTCAACAATGCGCTAATTTTTTGATTTGTCGTGTTAATCTTTTTAAGCCAGCTAATTACATTGGAAAAATAAGATAACAGTTTAAAGTTTAAAGTTGAAAGGTTAAAGGTCAGGGGTTATGAGTATGATTAGGTAATAAAATAGATATTAGTTAGAATATGATGGCAATAATCTCAACAATTTCTTCCTTGAATCGATATTTATTGTCCATTTTACCAGAAAATTCCCAACTCAACATTTCTACAGTCTGACCTCACGAGTGAATTCCATTTCTAATTTTAATTCAACTGTCGATTTGGATAAATATTTCTCAAAGAATATATTTGTCTATAGAGAATCCCACACAATCTGATTCAGACGAGATATTCACTGACATAAAGGAGCTGAAAACTTTCAGACCGACGTCCAGTGGTTCTATATATTTCATTAAACATAGTATTTTATGGCGCCACTATAGCACATGCTGTTAATAATATAAAAAGGCCTCTGCGATATTAACGATAAAACATGCTTAGTTTTAGTGTAATTACAATCACAAGAGTTTGATTGGAAATTGGAATGATTCAAATCAATGCTATCATTGTCTCTCATACACATAAAACCTTTCAGAATATTTTTTTCATAATCTTTTTCAAAACGAAAGAACTGACCACGAAAGACAACAGTATTTAAAAATCGTATGCATGTCAATTAACCACGATATAATATATCCGCCTTTACTTAACGTAAATGTATATGTACATTAATAGCTCTGTAATAAAGAGGTGCTCCCTATTACGTCCGCGTTAATATTAATACATTTTATCATATTGTCTGTTTTACTTTAACGTTGTTAAGTATAAATACCCTTTCTCACACACAGACACCTTAAATGGAAATTGCGACCTACAAAAAATCGCAATTTCCATTTAAGGTGTCTGTTCTTTCGTTTTGAAAAAGATTATGAAAAAAATATTCTGAAAGGTTTTATGTGTATGAGAGACAATGATAACATTGATTTGAATCATTCCAATTTCCAATCAAACTCTTTTGCTCAAATTTGTCAAAAATTATAGTCTACACAAAAATCTACAGAAATGTAATAACTAAAAACATCTAGTCGTTCATATTTAAACGCCAAAAACATTTAAAAACATCACGTAAGGTTTTTAAGGTCGTTATGCATTTTGGAAGCTGTTAGAAAAACTACTGTACGGATTTGAATAAAATAAACGCCTAATTGTGGAGAAATATGTGTCCTATGTATTCTAACGATTCAACTAATAATATCGCGCCATTATAAAGCCAAACACCAAAAATAGATTCAAACTGTTAAATTTACAATCAGTACTCTCCGTTTTTAATTAACCCTTTAAAACAAATTCAGTTTGATCAAGGAGATACATAGATATAAACAACATACATATTTTCAGGTATAATTTACGACGTTTTTGATAATCAAAACTTTTTTTACAAAAAAGCGGAATATCCCTTTAAGCTGGACATATGGATGTTCGCTTTATATAATTGTCTCATTTCTGGCATTTAAAGATTCATTTCATCGTACTCTTTCTGAACAGAGACCACGAAATTTCTCTTATTTATTCAGTTTTGTATATTTGTATATGACAGTCATTGTTTGAGAAATCCTAGAAACGAGCTACTAGGCTATACTTATGTAAAACAACACAACACCACCACTAATCCAACAAGATTTCTATATTAAATGAGCAATTGAAACTTAGCCCACAAACCTTAACTGAATACCAACATTACCTTAAATTATACTGCACAATCAAAATAATCATAAAATACATAAATCATAAGTCGGAATGAGCACCATGTTAAATGATTGACCTTCCATATTCCATAAAACTGTCAAATTACAAATAAAAACCACAGAAATTTGTAAATAAAAGCTGCGACTGGCAGAGAGAATGATAAATGAATGAATGAAATATAGATTAAATATCGATTGACTTGTCATCTTATATTATGAAAGAAATTGTAACAGAGCGGGCAAACATGAATGAGATTTTAACTGCTTGAATGAAAAAGAAACTATGTAGAAATAACAGAATTAAATGAAAGCCAATCCACCCAAAGGCACAATAGATGAAATTCCAAAAGATTATTTAAAAATTACATTTATATTTGTGTTACTAAATCACGAATTTGGAAAGCATGAAGCATTTAAGAATCTATGAAGATTTTTTTCTTGAATATATGTAAACAGTCTTCAGAAGTGCTAGAAATGTACGAACATCGCATAATTGCTTTCTGGATACTTCAAACTAGGAATTTTACTCACTATTTCTATATATCATTTTTTATATCACAGAGTATCTTAAATTGACGAATCGTCATTTTAACATTCAATCACGAATAATTCTGGACACACATGGATTTCGACGGTGAGCCGTAAACACTAGTACTGATTGGTTTAGCTAAAAAAAATCTGCCTTCTGAGACTAAAGTATGATTAGTCAAAAAAAAAAAAATGAGCATCTGCCCCTTTAATAAATATTATTGAAAATGATGATTCTCCAAAAGGGGTGATAAATCAGTCGCCGTGTTAACATGTCTCACGTATCATAATAGAGAAGCTCAAACTAGGAGCTGAAAGGCATAATTACATCAGGGACACCTGGAGAAATGGAGTGATCTTATATACAATTAACTATTTCAACTATTAGATAGTTTCCAATACACAATGTCTACTGTCAATTGGTAAGTGATAGTATATGGATTTCAAATGCAGAAATCAGATAATTCAAAGATGGGTTCCCTCATTTTCATTTATGAAAATGAAAATGCTAATATCTATATGAGTAGTATAGGTGTTCTTATAATGACTTGGAAAAATTTGAGTTTGTCTTATATGTCCATAACTAATTCATAATTAGCTAAATTAGAAGAGAAATACCAGCAGAATTACATTGAATGACCGATCAAGAAAGGTAAAAAAGTCTTTTTTTGTTTATCCAGACAGTACATACATGGACATTTACGATTGGATAAAACTCTTAATTATATGCAATAAGAACATAATGATATGATATGATACATGATAATTCATTAGAAACACCAATTAATCAAATATTTTGCTTAATTTGACACTAAAAAATAAGGAAACCCATCTTTAATTTAAGGCAGATACTTCATTCTGTGTCAAACACTCCTGTTACAAGCAACATAGTACAGAAAATTACGAATTATGTATTTAAACTATTTATGGTTTAGATAAGAGGCGAGGTTACTTCTGTCTGTAGGCTAAGACCGAGCGCCGACAGTATATTATAAATAACTAAATGTGTTGGGTGCATTGTCAAGGATGCAAGTCAAGGGTCAAGTGAGGGTGAAATTACGTACGTACAGAAATTGTTGTCGATTTTCTTGCTTTCTCTGCTAACTCATTATTGGCCGTGTTTCTGTTTCTGGAATTCATTACTATGCTCTTGCATAGTGCTTAAAGGAAACACAATTGAAATGATAAAATATGACTTACTTTTTTTGGATGCTCTAAATCCATCATTAACAGGTAAATTTTGAATATCATAAACTAATCTAGTTTGAGGTAACAGATCTCGTTCATGGTTCACTCTATATACAGCATAACGAAACGCATTAGCTACCCTTAAATCTTCATCACCTTCTCCAAATAATCCTCCTGAAATACAGAATGAATGAATATATAATACACAGAATGAATGAATGAATGAATGAATGAATGAATGAATGAATGAATGAATGAATGAATGAATGAATTGCTCAAGTGAACAAATGTCAATGTCATTAAGTGCTCCCTATTACGTCCGCGCTAGCAATAATGTATTTTATTTAACCGGGTGTTAAGTTGTATAATATGTCCTTTTAGTTTTAACATTTTTCTGAAGTCTCGACTTGATGGCAGGAATTAGTTTTTAATTTATTATAAAATAAGGGAACATGACAATATACAAATACAGAACAGGAAGTTACGTTGGAAAGTATAGCGTGTTAGTTTGGTCGGGCAAAAATTGATCTGGTTTTATCTCATGATTTCTGACGCACTATACCTTGTGTGGTGATTCTCTTTAGAGGGGTCCGGTACCATATCACCTTTACTTTCGATTTTGCCATCCTTATGACGAGACTTTGATTAACGGAATTTTTTTGCTTGTACAGATTTTCATTTCATCCATTATTTCACTAGTAATAACTAGGCTGTTTCGAGAGACATACATGAAGTATCCAACTGTTTGATTAGTGCAACATTTCTTTTATAAACAGAATTGTTTAAAATATTTGCAGTACTAATATCTAGGTTGTTATATCATACACAAGGTATTCTAGTATAGACGTTATATATCGTATACCAAATGACAATGTGTTATCTATTGCCAGAATCCTGCTGTTAAATCAAACAAGGTGAACTAACACTGGTACATATTATCAGGTAACGCTATTGTTCCAATACCATCATAGGAAATGACTAACATCGCCGGTGTGGAGCCTCAACTCTGCTTCAGATCAAATTTGTTTTTCTTCTTACCGTGTCTCTGGGTAAAATATGTGTAATATGTTATGTTCGGTTTGATCATCTAAATATAACATGAATGTATTACAATAATAAAATATTTTCACTGTTAAAATAGTGCTCAAAACATCAATTGTATAGTGATATAGAAATACCAGTGTTAAAATAGTGTTCAATACATCAATTGTAAAGCGTTATAGAAATATCACTGTTAAAATAGTGCTCAATATATCAATTATAGAGTGATATAGAAATACCACTGTTAAAATAGTGCTCAATATATCAATTATAGAGCGTTATAGAAATATCACTGTTACGATACTGCTCAATACATCAATTATAGAGAGATATAGAAATACCACTGTTAAAATAGTGCTCAATACATGAATTGTAAAGCGTTATAGAAATACCACTGTTAAAATAGTACATCAACACATCAATGGTAGAGCAATATAGAAACACCACTGTTAAAATAGTGCTCAATACAACAATTGCAGAACGATATAGAACCGTCACTATCAAAATAGTATTCAATACATCAATTGTAGAGCGATATAGAAACATCACTGTTAAAATAGTGCTTAATACATCAATTGTATGACATATTATTAACGGATTAAGGGATAGTGAAATTATAAAATGCTTAGTTTTAGAAGAATAGCAGAAACCACGAATGTTTGACTGAATATTAGAATTGGGCAAATTGATGTTATCAGTGACCCGATATAAATAATAAGTTTAGAGAACCTCCTTACAAGATTGTTGTTATCCGGGAACTATGATGAACACTTTAAAGCAAGCAGGTGTGACAAGAGTATTGACAATACAATGGTAGGTGTTAAAAAACAGACAGACAGACATTCCTTATTTTGAATAATTAATTTCAGCACATTTCGAGCATGATAGCTTTAAATAGGTCTAACCCAGCAGGTGTGATTAGTGTACTGATAATCTGGTGGTAATTACACATATTGTATTTATTTAGTCTGATTTAAATAAACCTCATCTATTTATAGCATCCTATTGATCTTAAACACCTTTTAACATAGAACTTAATAGCAGCCGTTAACATTAGAAAGTATCATCGTTGAGTTCAAAATTTGCGTAAATATTACAATTAATAATTCATAATTAGTTGTCTGAAGATCGCATAGGGTGAAACTCTGAGTAACAACAACATGTTTTAGGTTCTGTTTTAATATTTCTATTAATGTGTTATATAGTGAATATTTAATCCTCCTTTAATTTGATTCCTGATTTTGCCGCATAGACAGGGTCTATATCGGCTGGGTTTGTATATCTCAGAAAGTCTTCAGAAAGTCTTCAGAGATAATATGGTTAATATCGTCTATCAAGAAACGAAGGAATAAAACTAAATTGAAATTCTGGTTAAAAAAGGGATAACATATAAGGTGCAAATTGTTAATTATATTTCCGAGAGTGTTATACAGTATAAAACATCAGAAGGAATATATGCAATATTAAAAGCACTCAAAGGAACAAATTTGATCAAAAAGATACATAGATGGATAGCATGATTTAAAAATGTTTTCAGGTATAATTTACACCGTTTTAATAATGGAAATTTTGCATACTGCCCCTTTAATACTGTAATACTGCAATATATAATGCACTACTTAGAAATTCGATATTACAGGTTAATTATCTAAAATAGTTGACCTATATTCACCTGTAAAATTCTAGGTTGAACAGGTAAATCAGGTGTGCACTGTTACTATAAACAGAACGTATTTATTTATTCATAGTCTACTTTCGGTTTATTGTATTATGATTTCGACCACTAAATGAATCATATTTAGAAAATGTTGGATTCTGGGGAATCTCTTGAAATGTCAGGTGAGAACGTCAACTGTGAGATATTTTTTCTATTTAATGCTTATTTTAAGAAATTCGTCCTCATTCGACATGGTTATATACTTCTTGACTGACCTCGATAAGATCGACCCAAACGCAATGTTATTATTCTCATACAGTAGTGGGATCGGAATAGTAAGTAAGTGTCATTTTGGATCACCGTGTTGAATTAATGAATGAATTATTGAATCTCCGCAAGGCAAGGCAAAGTGACAAGGGGCATCAGAAGCCAAAGACTATACGCTACTTTGAAAGATTTTTCAATTTTTCAACTGCCTCAAAAGTAATAGCGTAACAAAAGTAAAACATTGGCAAATTACTTTATGTAAATCAGTAATTGTACAGTATGTAAAATTTGAGGATGTATTGAAGATCTGTATCTACTGTGACGAGAGTTATTGCAGTAATTCTAAGATTTTAGATTTGAAAGAACATCTGCTTTGTTTATAAATAAACGTCACAATACTCATTTCTGATTCTTTTTTTTAAATTGGGTAACTTTTGTAATGGTCTATTACAATCCAGAATACATGTATATTGGAGACCAATTTGATGAGGTACGGTGTCTGGTGTGGTAGAGTTATAGGTTAAAGGCGATTACCGATACAGTTGAACATAAGATAATTATCCCAGATGTGTCCAAAGCCATACGTCGTATATTCGGATCCAGAATACATGTATATTGGAGACCAATTTGACGAGGTACGGTGTCTGGTGTAATATAGGTTGTGTGTACGTCGTATATTCGGATCTTCCGTTTTCTATTGTATCGACAGTCCCACACCGGACATCGTATATCGTCTATTCGCGCCTTTACATAGTTAATGTTTATTTTGTATATTTATTACATTGTCAATGTGTTAAAAACTGATATTGCATAGCTAATGTATTGAAAGTGGCATTTTTAATATTAATATAGAAATAGTCATATCAATTACAAAGTCTATACATAACGTGGAAAATAAGTGATAAAAAGTGATAGTATGTGCCAGCTCCATATAGAGTTTTGAGGGGGGCATTGGTCCATGGCTTACCCCTTGGGCCTGTGATAGGTCTTGAAGTGCCATCTGAAATCCCCTGGCGTCTGCGGAGCCGCCAGACCCCTGGCCTCAAGTGGCTTTGGCCCTTGGCCCCTCTCTCATATCCAAGATTCGCCCGGCGTCAATACAGGGAGAGTCCTTGTGCTATGTGTTCCAAACACAACTCTACTTCTGATGAAAGAAGCAAATGCTGATTTTTGTCTACTGTATCAACAGACGAGGGGGCATTTCGTGTAGAAATTTTACATTACTCAATTGTTCTGTTCAATATTCAGAAATAAATACATGTAAGTAAGATATATTGCACTATTAGTTTTAAATACCCGAACTACAATATAGATCATCTTCCAGCCCAACCGCAGATTGTTATTCAATATTTTATAAACTAGACTATAAATATTTGTTGGTTGTATTTCAGTGATCGACATTTTGAAAGTGAGTCAACATTAAAACCTCTTTACAGTGTTTTTAGTCGAGGTTGAATAGAGCAGCTGAAATCTTCATTACTTAAAGTTCACGTATACAAAAAAACTGAAAAGTTTGAATTTCAACACAGTGGGATAGAGAATTTGTTTAGGTTCATTTCGTGATTTACTTAGCGTTAAAACTGTTAACTGATTACGACTGAGAAGAGATGGGCGTTATTCCATTCAAAATAATAAGAAAATGCATATCCTAAATCTCGATTTCACAGTGTCATCGGGTGTATTGTTAAAAGTGTTTGTACCCTCATCTCATTTGTTAGCGTCAAAACTCTTTAAAAGAAAGTGGCGATATTCCATTCAATGTTAGAAAAAACACAGTAATAATTATCCTTAAGCTGAAATCTCAATTTCACAGTGGAACTAGGTGTATGGATGATGGCTGTGAACGGTATAGGATAGAAAGTTGGTTTAAGCTCGTCTCATTGATGTTCCTGTTATTACCAGGAATTGGACCAGATTATGAGCAACACCACCAATACCAATGGTGATACGTGCAATATAAGACTTGATTGTTCGGTGGAGCAAATAATATAACTGGAGGGAGGCGCAATGGGGTTTGATGTTATGTTGAAGTAATGAAATTGGTCGGTTGTTAGTAATTTTTCAGGGGAGCTATCCATTTTTTTTCGAAGATCCTTTTTCGATTTTTTAGTCTATGATATATATATTTAAAAATAAACCATCTATATCGGTGTATAATGCCACTTTAAGAATAGACACGATAATGGATGAGTTTTCTAATGTAAAATACA